CTCAGTCCTAGCCAGAATTCCCCAGTGAGGTTACCGAAACCTTTCTCATAGTCAGCCCAGTTCCTATTGAAAGCAACAGATCTATCTTGTCTCCTCTGAAATACAGTCCACCCACCACCATCAGTCTCCATATCACAGTATACCTGTACAGAAATAAATTAATGCAAAGTTGTACAGGAACCATTACCTGAAAAGCTTCTCCTGCATTTGGTTTTACTGGATAGACTCCACTCTGACTGATCCCCAACTCTTGCCATGCTTTGCAGTCTGGCGGCATCACACAAACTATAAAATTAAAATTTTAAAGGAGTTGGGATTTTTTCATTATTTTACCTGGTGGAGCATTAACCGATGTGTTTGGAGAGGAAAGGAACTCAGTAGTGACAACCAGTGGAGTTGGAGATGGGGCAGCAGAAGGAAATGGATTAAGGGTAAGAGATGGTGATGGCATATCATCAGGACAGTTTCCAGCTGCAATGTTAATCATAGCAATAGCTATTATGACACATAGCCATTGAGAAGTAACCATGATTGATACTATATAATAATGCGTTGCCTTCTGCTGATGAGAAAGAGATGAGGTTACTCTTCTTTTATAATGGACAGACTTGTGATACCTTTTGCAGGTGAATGTGTTGACTTAGTGAAGGTAAATTTATTTTTTGGTGCATATCTTTCAGTTTTTGCTATCCTTCTGAGTTTTACGACCACAGTGTATATTTGGGACACTTAATTTTTTTAGTCTAAACATGTGAAAGACTTATGAGTGAGTAAAATAATCTGCAGCAATGCAGCTGTGTCAACAAGGTGAAAGCATTCTTGCATTTAAATACTAATATTATGCATCCTCATTTTCATTCAAAGAGTACTGGTTATTAAGTAATAATAATTATTGAATAAACTTAAGAGCCGCTGCTAATGACCGTCTTGGGAGCTCGTTTCTAAAGAGTTTTAAAGATCCAGATAGCTCTTTTGGTGGATATGATTATACTTTTGTCGATGGTGACTGACCAAAAGACTACATCTGTCTCATATGTACTTTAGTGTCACGTGATCCTCATTAAGTCTCCTGCTGCTATAATATATACTGTAAGAGTTGTCTGGATAAGCACTGGAAAAAATCCTTAAGGAATGGAACATTTCGCTGTCCTGCTTGTTGTAAGCTACTGGATTCCAAGAGCTACTTTAAAGATGGAAGGATGGAGTGGGAGATAAAGGCCCTTAAAGTTCAATGCATCATTGAGGAGTGTGACTGGAAAGGAGCTATTAGTGATATTGAAGCACATGTCATGGCCTGTCCTTATCGAATGGTCAACTGCTCTCTGGGATGTGGGGAAAAGATTTGTTATAGGGAAATGGAAGCTCATCTCAGTGATTGTCCAAAGCGGATAGTCAGTTGTCAGTATTGTAAATATGAAGGCCCTCATGACTTTATAACAAACAGTGCTCATCTTGATAAGTGTTATGACTACCCTGTCAAATGTTGCAATGAAGGTTGTGAATTTATTCAAGAACGCTTTTGGTTCAAATATCATGAGCAAAATTGTCCTAAAGCTATTGTTTACTGTGAATACAGTAATTTAGGATGCAATAAATTAATAAAAAGGGAAGAGCAAGAAAAGCATAATGAAGAATCCATGAAAGATCACTTACAAGTGGCCGTCAAACGAGTTGATACTCTGTAGATGAAATGTGCTGGTATGAAATGCGCTGGTAGTTCAAGTTCTCATGTCTTCAAAATGAATGATGCCTACTCCCATAAATGTTATGATCTGGTGTGGCATAGTCCATCATTTTATACTTCACCAGGTGGCTATAAGATGATGCTTTGTGTATATGCTAATGGTCATGGTAGAGGAAAAGGTACTCACATGTCTTGTTATACCGGTCTTGTTCCTGGGGAGTATGATGATGAGCTGGGGTGGCCATTTAAGGAGAAGTCACAGTAGAGCTACTAAACCGTTATGAAGATAAGAATCACAAGAAGCTTATTATCAAGTATGACCACTCAACTCCTAAGGATTGCAAGGAAATGGTCACAAAATTGGTTTTGCAAGAGTGGGGGGAAGATCGATTCATTGCTCATTCTGATTGTGACTTTAAATATATTTCTTTTTGTTACCAATATTTCAGAGTCAGTGCAAAGGTCACCTCTGTGACTAAACCATGGCTTGTATTATGATTATTATTAATTCAGTATAAAAAGCTATTTGTTTATAATTGGTGAAATAGTTTTGATAGTTTGTACACGACTTGTAGGTAATGATATTTGTTTCTTAAGTGTGTTGACTGAAAAGGAAAAGGTCCATGTGTTTGTTTTGCTGTGTAACTTTCAATGAATGTTAGCTATTTAGTTTCTTTTATAAGTACCTACTGTACATGAGTATACATGTACGGCAAATGTGCTGTCTATTTTATTGTAACTTCAATAGCCATGCAGCCATCCTATGTACATGTGTATGGGAACGTTTGAATAAGATTAAAATCGCTCATTATAAGGAGGCAAATTGATATAACCATGACATGCATGTACAATTTGAACTAAAGCTATACAATGTAACTATACTTTCTATTTTGTACTAAAACTATATAAAACAAATCAAACAATACTATTCTGAGAAAACTACTAAAAATGGC